TTGGGGGTCAAGGATCTTGCCCTCAGGAACTCAGAGTGGACCAACAGAGATAGGCGGGAGGGGCCCGGGACTCCAGCAGAGGACTGGAGGCGGGGTCAGAGACCAAGCAGGTGGAAATTACCGGTGGTCCCGCGTGGATAGTCAGGTCTCCTTTGTTCAGAGTTGCTCTGAGAAGTCTCCGAAGTAGGGTGGACTATTGGCTCCTGCAGATGTATTTCTTGTGACTAGATTAGGAAACTCAGTATTAGTTTTCCAAAGTGATTTTTAGATTCAATTTAATATTGCCAATAAACTTAATTTTAAATATAACTAGATCTTCAACTTTATAGAAAAGCAAAGACTAAGCAAGCCTTAAACAAAAACAGACTTACTATTAATCTGTAGTAAAAGAAGAAGAACAAATGAACACTGAAAAAAATTGTTGATCAAGGAATAGTCCAAAAATAGATCCACACATATGCTTGTGTAGTGTCATTTGAATGTAACCTTTTCTCCATGGTTTCCTGTATTGGTAGCATGCCACCCTACACCCCTCACTAGTGTTTTAGGAGATAATGTGGTCATGTGGGAAGAGCTTAGGTCATTTCAGGTGTTGCCTTCAAATGAATTAAGTATATTTTTTGGGACCTTGAGTTTTTGCAAGTGTGAGTTGTTTAGAGAAGGAGTCAAATTCCTAAATTGTTCTCTGGCGTCCTCTCTTAAAATGTGATTTTCCTCCTATATCCACTCCTGATATTACAATATCATCCATCTACCATGGGGTCCTTAGCAGAGCTGAGCTGATATACCAACCTTGTCCTTGAGCCCCCATAATTATTTAAGCTAATAAAACTCATTTAAAATAAAGTTACATAAACCTTGTTTTAAAATAAAATTGCCCAGCTTCAAGTTTTTCATTATAGCCATAGAAAATAATGTAGAGTAATATAGTCAACTGATTTTCAATGAAGGAACATGGGATTTCCATGAAGAAAGAGCTGAAGGAATGGTAGTGGCACTACTAAAAACAGAATGAAGGGAAGTACTCTTCCCCATTGCATCCAACACGCAGAACCTAGTTTGGGATGGCTCATAGACTAACCATGCACAAGATTCTGGGTTAATCCCCAGCACATGTTTACAAGCATCCTAGTGCCATATATGTACAAGTCATTGTGCATGTAATTGAGAACTTGAATAATTATATAAAAGCAGTGTGGGACTAGGGAGAGAATTTAGGTGCTAAGTGCCTGCCGTGTCAACATAAGGTCCTGAATTTGATTCCAGCACTCACAGAACAGCCAGGTGTGGTGGTGTACATGAGTAATAGCAATGCCAGTAAAACAGACATGAGTCAAGGAATGAGACTTGCTAATCAGTCAGCATGTTGTAATTAGTGAGTCCTGCATCCCAGTGAGAGGCCCCATCTCATAAACCAAGATAGACAGGTGACGAACAACACCCAGTGTTAACCTCTGGCCTCTACACACATGTGCACGGGTTGCACACTCAGGAACATACATACACTTACATGCAAGCACACATGCAAAGGTAAAAATGTTCAATGTCAGTCGCAGGGGAATGCAAATAAAATCATAATAACTACTTCCTGCCTATTGAGGTTGGCTGAAATTTAAGTTCTAATGACCTCAAACACATGTGAAAATGCAGAGACCCTGAAGCAGCTTTGAAGAAACATCTCTGTTGGGTGCTTATTGACTCAGCAGTCTCATGGTTATGAACTAACATGAAAACATGTCCACCAGAAGGCGCCACAGGTGTATTCACTGGAAGGCATAGTAGTTGTGTCCACACAAGTTTGATTTATTAAAAATCAAAATCAGAACCAGGCCAAATACTCAACTGTAGGATAGTAGATAAACTGTCTTGTTCCCAAGCAGAACTCAGAAATTTAAAAGACCTACTAATAGCTGGTCAATGTGAATGAATCTTAAAAATCTCCATATTAAGTGAATGATTCAAACACAAGAGTTTGTTCTGCACAGTTCATCCTGAGAGAAGTGAACAGCACATGAAAATTATCTAAGATGATAGAAGTGGGAAGCATAACTACCCACAGACTGAGAATTGTCTAACAGGGACCAAGAGAGAACTTTCTATGGTAATGGCTATAATTTCATTCGAGTGGCAATTAAATTAATTTATACAGTTATCAGAGTACACTAAGATTTATATTTCAATTATATAAATTTTACCCTAATAAGGAAATAAGACAGTCCAGAGAACTGGCTCAGTGGTTAAGCGTACTTGCTGCTCTTGCAGAGAATGCTTCAGTGGCCTCTAACTACAACCCTGGAGGACATGGTGCCCTCTTCTGGCCTCTGTGGACACTATACTTATGTGCACACACTCGACTCATACACATAAATAAAAATAATGGCAATTGGCAAATAGATAAGACACCATAACTATTTTGATAACTATCCATAATGAAGGGTAGAGTGTAGGCTCTATAATAGCTCTCTCTGCTTTGACTAGTAAGCTTATAAACTCCTCACCATGGCATAATGGCCTTGTGTAATTTGTCTTTGCCTAAGACTTCTACCTCCTGCCCCTGCCTTCCTCTCAGGTCCTTCTCGTTTTTGCATCACTGATGTATTCCCACCACATCAGCTGGCTCAGGGTTTATTGAATATGTCAATACATACATGAATACTCATGTCATCCTATGTGCCAGTGCAGTGATGGGACTGGAAGATTGCTATTTGGACTGCCGTCCTTAGTGATTTAGCAATTTCATTGTTTCTTCACTGCAAGCAAAGCAGAACTTTAAACTGGATCACTGATGAATTTTTGGTTAACACAGCCCTTTTTTTTTTTTTTGCATCTTCTCCCTTGCAGTCTTTTTTACTCTCCATCTCTTTCCAGAGACGGCACTTAATAGTCCTGATGATAATGCTTGATCTACTCAACATCCTCAGTCCTCGTATCTGCTCTCTTCCTGTTGCTGACAGAATGGCCCACAAGGACAACTTGAGGGAGAGTCTTACTTTAATTTGTGACTTTAGACGGTCCTTCCACATTGTCAGGGAAATGTAACAGAGCAGCTGAGGTCACCTCACCATGGGTCAGGAAGTAGAGACTAGACTGTTATATTTCTACTAGACTCCACCTTTGCCTGTTTGCCTCAGCCCTGCTCCAGCCCATATTCACACAAGGCCTTCCCTGTCAGTTGAGTGTGTCTAGAAATGCTCTTACTCACACCCATGTGCCTCAGTGTACTCAGCGATCCTCTAGTACACACGGAGGTTGATCTTAACCATCTATACACCACGAGGAAGGTGTTTATGCCTCCCATCAGGTGGTGCTTTTGTTTTTTAAACATACATGTTGCTATACTAATACAAAATGTAACATTCACAAAAAAGACATTTAAGAGGATGAGATGGAAGTTTTATTATATTTATTTTGCCACTTCAGGCCAGTTGTATACAGCTGAAGTGAAGGACAGACCACATTTAACATTAATGTGAGAGACCATACTTGTGTTAATACAAATTTTAATTGTAATTGATGATGGCTTGGAAACTATTCTTCATTTTTATGTAAGTTAAATGATGCTATCATTTAGTGTAAGCAGAATGATTTTGTTGTTTCTTTTTTTTTTTTCTTTTGGTCTGAAGTATACTTTGAAATCATCTCATGTTATTTTTAATGCTAGCTATTTTCCCACAAGATATAGAGACTATTTTATAAGTAGTAATGAGATTATAGATATTTTACAGGTAGTAATGAGATTATAGTTATTTTGTAGATAGTAATGAATTATGGGTATTTTACAGGAAATAATGAGATTGTGTTTTATAAGTAGTAATGAATTATACATATTTTATAGGTAATAATGAGATTAGAAAAGTGGAGAATGAGACATATAAAAGAACTCTAGAATTGACTATATTGGGCTTTTTGATTATTTGTTTTTGTTGTTTTGTTTTTGTTTGAGACAGGAGTTCATTATGTAGCTTTGCCAGGTAAGACTCTCTATATAGATAAAGTTAGCATCAAAAGCACATCCATCCATCTGCCTCTACCTCCCAAGTGCTGGGATTAAAGGTGTGCCCCATCATGCCTGGCAAAAAGTACTATGTTGACTTTTTAAAAACAATTACACTATAAATATTAATAATAGTTATTTAAATGAAATGTCTCCTTGATAAATTGGTTATTATCACAGAGGGGGCGTGTAATACATCTATAGAGAAGTTGCTACCATGGGGGAAGCCGTTTATTTTCACATAAAAAGGAAGGTGTTAAGAAAGCATCAACCTAGCAGCACAGCAGTTCTAGACAGTGTGTGGATTTTCAGTTTGGTATGTTACCTTTAAGACATAAAGGAAGCAGAACACAAACACGAGCCTCTCTCAGTTTGAAGCAAACCTAATCTTCGTGATCATGACTATGGTCTAAATCTATTAAAGATGTTCAGATTTGGTGTCCTTGGCATCACTGTGGGGTGACCTGAATAGTGAGCAATAAACTCATGTATTAAAATTCAAGTTGGAAGATATGTGCTTAGGAAGTGAAACTGACAGTTAGCGCTTGGGTTTGTCTCAAAGAAAACTCAGAGCCTATGGAAAATGACAGGTACACTTTGAGGGAGAGAAACCCATAATGTTTTCCTATTTAGTAAGTGACAGCATGTCCCAAGGAAACACAAGCTTAAAGGCTGGAACAAGCATAGTTACTAAAGGCTAGTGGTTTCTCAGTTCATACAAATTGAATTTTTTCATAGTCTGGAGGACTGTAGAAATCTAGTGTAGAGGGATGAAATAAATTAGCATATTAAGTGAATTTATACATTCAGGCCTGTGAGCACTTTGAATTTAAGAAAGAAATTTTATTATGGCTTGAAAGAAAATGACAACTCTTCAATTCTGTGTTCAAACTCCATGTTGGAAGGGGCTTATTTGATAAATTATATCATTTTGATGATTATCCAAAGGAATGTATTTCAAATTCATGGAAATCTTTCTTCTTTCCTGTCCTTTTTTTTTTCTCAGAATTACTGATTTAGGAAACATCAAAAGAAGATTGTATTTATCAACAGTCCATAAGGAACTCTCCTCAACCCCTCTTCATGCAAAAATCCCACTCTTCATGATCAAGCGTAAAATTGTAAGTATCATATGAACATTGCCTAAAATAGATTAAATTGAATTCCTAAGACATTCATTTTGGGTCTTCTCTGTGTAGAAGGCCTTTTGTTAGGTACCATGCTTCTATTAAAGGCATGATTTAAAAAGCATGCCTTTCCTCCCTGCCCCTTGACATCTACTAGGTAAAAAGAGTATTATTTAAATACAGTGTCACCAGATCAGTGAAGGAAGCATACCAGAGAGAGACACCACTAACTCTGTAAAAGGGAAAGAAAATATCTGTTGGCCAGCTGCAAGCTTCAATCAGGGGATAGCAGTGGGTGGACTTGGAAAGCATGTAAATCAGAAACATAAGTGATCCAGCACCCCAAGCAAAGGGACTACATGGATAGAAGCTTGGAGGGTGCAAGTGGTGTATCTCTCAGGAACACAGGCTAGTCATCACCTTTGCCAGACTGAAAACAGCACAGCAGCCTGACACCGCAGAGGACTTGACCTCCTGGTGACTTCAGAAGGGTCTGCTTGGCTGTCTAGTCTTGCTCAAGCTTCAGTCTGTCAGTTTTATTTTGATGGTACTGCTCTCAGTACCATATTTGTGTACCACCTGTTCTAGAATATGCTTGATTCTTTACTTTAAATTGACCCACATTTTTTAACTTCAGTTTATTTTAAAAGAAAGCTTCATAGAAGTTGTATAAACACAAAAGTTAGTACAATCTTCCAAAGTAAAACATGATTAGGGCTGGGGAGGTGGCTCAGTGGGTAAAGTACTCACCACTAAGATGGGGGTTGGAGTTCAAACCCCAGAACCCAGGCTAAAGCTAATCAGGTACAGCAACCACTTGGAATCCTAACACTCTTGGGGCAGAAAAGAGGGTGGGGGTCCTACAGCCAGCTGACTTGTCAGAATTGCTGAGCTTCGGTTCAGCAAGTGACCTTGTTTGATAAATAAAGTAAGGAGCAATCAAGATAGACAACCAGTGTCAACTTCAGGCCTCCACACACAAGCACAGACACCTGCATGAAATGCTGTGGTGGAGAAGAGGAACTTATTAAATAAAGCTGAGGAAGGCTGGAATGCAGGTAAGTGATACAGAGCTTGCCTAGGATGCATTAGACTCTGAGTTTCATCCCTGTCATCCTAACACACACACACACACACACACACACACACACACACACACACACACAAGAAGGGTTTTTGGACTAGAAAAGGAAAACAGTTCTGCGGTTTGAGGAAATTGTTTTAGTAGTGAGGTCTACAACCATTTTAATGGGTAGGAAGTGAAATGATGTGACCATTTGCTATAGTCTGGGCTAGAATTCCTATAGACTGGGCGGTAGGAATAGAAGAATGAATGTGAGGTAGCTTGAGATCCATGTATCTAAATGATCTGAGACACGTGTATACAGAGGATATCCACATATGATCTGAGACACGTGTACACAGAGTACATCCACGTATGATCTGATACATGTGTACACAGAGGACATCCACATATGATCTGAGAAACGTGTACACAGAAGACATACACATATGTGGTGCCCTCTGTAAGAGTAAACACAAGAACTATGATTTAGGTGCTTGCTGTGTTTTTAAATGTGGGGGGGAGGCATATGTGTGTGTTTATATAAAATTTAAACATACATGTAATGCAAATACTTTGTACAGCTTAAAGATAGGTCATTCTAAATATGTGTACATATATGCAAAGCTAAATGGACTTAATAGGGTATGTGTGTATTTTGTACATATGTGTAATATTTATATATTAATATATTGTATATAATCATATAAATTGATGTATTTATATATAAGATTATATTAATAGTATATATGGGAATGATATAGTTTGGGAGGGGATACACTAGTTTGGAAATGGAGGAGTTAGTGATGTAGATGCAGTGCTCATGTATGAAATTCTCAAAAATTAATAAAACTAATAATAATAACATTGCTAGTCTGAAAATCCCTGTGTTAATTTTCTTCATCTGTAAAATGCAGGTAATGTAAAGCATATAAAGTATATACACCACAAAGTTGTTGAGACTTGTAAGTTTTAATAGTAACGTTTTTAGAAGATTGCCTGGGAAAAGACGTAACTATGGTTTGCACTTTAAATGCTAAAGTGGGATTGGTGAAAACTGCTCATCATTGCCATTGAATTTCTCAACCCCATAGCTTCTGTGCTCTGCCCTTCACTCCCCTGTTTACTTGCCTGTCTTCTCCATCAGATTATAAGCAAGTCCCATTGAACTTTTAACCTTTGTTTCTGTTGGTACATGGTACACAGTAAGTACTCAAATATTTTCTGAACAGAGTGCAAGTCTTAATGTACCTCCTGATAAAATAAGGGTCTTGTAGACAAGTTATATAAGCTTTGCAGTATTTCTGGTGATTTCACAAGTGTCTATGAGTATTAACACAAATGCTAAGAACTTTCTCTCACTTCCCTCATTCCCCTCTCAGCTCACAATGATGAAGCAGAAGGTTGATACACTCTCTTCCCAATGAGTGTCTATTGAACTAAAGTCAGGTGGTGTTTGAAAACACAGTTTCTATCCCAAGCAGTAGAGATGCTAAGCATATCCCACTTATCCAGGACACCATCCTGAAGCCCCACCTAGTTTTCTGCTTTTGGGGGTGGGGCAAGTTCACTTTTTTTTCTACCCATTATCAGGTGTGTCGATCTTGATGGTAAACCTCAATAGAACATTCTGAAAGTACTTCAGCTAACATTTAAAAGTTGAAATATCTCATACAGAATTCCTGACCTCTGACCTCTGGATTTCCTGATCAGAGACTCTTAGTTGATAAGGTACAAAAGTGCCATGAGACACTTCTGCTTCACTCTGCTATCTGCCTGGGTCTTCCAGGAGTCCTGGTTCAGAGGAGAATTGCTGAATTGTTCACTTTTCCTATGTCCTGTAGCTGAATCCTTTCAGTATCAACAGGCAATAAAATTAAATTCTTATAGCCAAACCAATCTGAATATTTATATATAGCCACTTTCTGTTTCAATTACCTTTAAATGTTAACCTTCCAAATTCATTTTCCATAGTATTCTTAATTATGAAGATTCACTTTAACCTTTAAGTTACTGCAATTTATGTTTTTAACTTGAGTTTTCAGTGGCAAGAACAATTTTAAAAATTAATAACCCATCACATTAAGCACTGGAAGTCCCCACTTAGTCAGAACTCATTGGAATCCATTTCATTTCTTCTTTACTACAACTTTTGTTAGTTGGTGATAGTGTCAGATGCAAATCAATGTCTTGCTACCAAAATGTGCTATAATGTATAATAAATTTATTTGTTTGAATGGGAAGCTAATTATGAGCTGTTCAGAATGCATCACTAGCAATAGTGCAGAACAGTGTGATAAAATACTATGCCAAATCTTTTAGCAATCTTCTCAACTCAGACACCTAGTGTTCTTATTTAAATGGATAAAAATCATTCCTTAGGTGATGGGATATGTTAATATATGTTTCTCTTATTGGTTGAAGAATAAAACACTTATTGGCCAGTAGCCAGGCAGGAACTATAGGTAGGGAGACCAGATGAGGAGAATTCTGGAGAGAGGATGTAGAGCGGAGCTGCCAGAGAGACACCACGTAGCTACCAGGAAGATAGAACGAGCCAGGAGTTCTCTAGTAAGATATGGCCATGTAGAAATACATAGATTAATAGTTATGGATTGATAATTAAGAGAGAGCTAGTCAGTAAGAAGCCTGAATCATTGGCCAAACAGTTTATAATTAATATAAGTCTCTGTGTGTTTATTTGTGGCTAAATAGCTGTGGGATCAGGTGGGACAAAAACCCTGTCTACACTTAGGACATGTACCTTCTTTAACTTAACTCTGTTGGCTTGTTATATATCTTAATACAAGCTAGAGGTCTAGTATATTGCACCTAAAACTTTTCAAGAATGTTCTTCCCCATTTTCCTCAGACATCATGCTTGCCACTGAGCCAATAATTGTGAAATTCGGGTCTTTTTTAAAACATTTAATTTCCTTAGTATCACTGTATGAATAAGGAATAAAAGAGGCAGGCTTACTCATATGCAAGGTTATCTAGGATACATACATCAACTAGTCTCTTAAAATCTTCATAACCTAGTATCCACTATAATATTTATGGCATTTTTTTAAGGATTTATAACTTTCATCTGACATACATCAATGCCAATTTTTAAATATCCATTTTTCTTTCTACTTCCTGTCAGGCTAACAGATACTTCATTTATTTGAGGAAGGGAGAACTATCATCTGCTGACCTTGAATACTTAAGTAAGCACCAGTGGCCCCAAAAGGTTTAGGAACAGACCACTCAGGCCAGCCTGTTTCAATAGCATGTATGCAGAGACGCTTTGGGGAATGAAGTGTGGGCCTTGGAGCTTTATTAAAGGCATTCAGATGCTGCCTTTTGCTGTAGACCCTTAGGCTAAGTCAGTCAATTTCTCAGCACTTCAGTTTTCTTTTCAGTTAAACAGAGTCAGTCGTAGAACTGGCTAAGTAGCGTCATTTGAACTAAAGGAGTTTTGTCTTAGAGCAATACCAAGCTCATGGTAAATGTTCACTTATATAAAGTTAAAAAAAAATACTGTTACTTTGCTGTTTTTTCTGGACATGAACCCATTAATTTATGCTATAGAAAAGAATGTCTGAACTGAAGTTTATTTTAATTAACAAATATTTATTAAATTACTAAATGCGTGTGAATCTAAAAATAAATGTCATATGATCTTTCACTAGTATAATACTGCACAATTACTAATAGAACAGGCTGAAACACACTGCCATTGAAAGTAAATACCAGATACGGCTATTGAAACTAGAAATAACAGATATATCTAGTCAAACTGAAAATAGTTGCAAATAATTTATTTACTTGTATAAACAATATTTGACTCTTTATAAAAGTCAAGAGTTCACGTCTTATTGATTTAGGATCAAGATGTACAATTCTCAGCTCCTTCTCCAAGACCATGTCTGTTTGCATGCCACCAT